TTTTTTAATTAGGGTGGCATTTGTACAATCAAAGTTATGATCAATTAAATCACAAGAAGCAAACAAGATAAAGCAAGATTCTAATTACCTAATCGAAACTTGTATGCCAAATTTAAAATGGTGTGTACGTGGCAGAATCTTTGAGTGACAGTGCGAGCAAAGATTTCACCAATATTTCCCTATTCACCCCAAATATTCACCCAATTTTTCATCGCACGACCCTCCTTCGAAAAATAAAGAAATATAATTATGGGTCAGAGCTAACCAGCTCAGTGCATCTGGCTTTTGTCAATCTACTGAAGAAAAGGCCTCTGTGACAATTCCAGTGTTTGAAGACTATATAAATAGAAAAGTTCCCACCCACAGTCACTGAGAAAGAGAGTCGCTCCTTAGATATTAGAGATACAGAGTTACCTCCCCTGGAGTCAGAAGAGTAAAGTAAAGTAACCATCTCACTGAAGATTTTAGTAGTGTATGAATAATATTCTGTGGTTGGAGTGAATGAAGTAGTTATACTAAATAATTAAAAGTGAATATTAGGATACACAAAGTTAAGAAAATTATAAGCAAAAAAGAAACTAAATTTAAAGACAATTTGGTGTCCGTAGGTCCTTACTTTCTTTACAAACAATTATTTTTATTTCATGCATTACTTTCGCCGGATTTCGCAATTAATTTCGAATTTTCCAAATTTATTTCCAAGTTATAAAAATTGTTATCGTACAAAAAAATTAGTCGCGAAAAATTACGTAAAAAATCATCGAAAACAATCGCAGTAATGAAAATTTGGAAATCTAAAATATCAGGATTGCGGGTCTGGATGTTTTTAATATGCTCACAGGATCGGCCTGATTTGGCATATGTTAGGCTATGGCCTCTAGGAGTAAAGTTGAAAAAGTGACACAGTGACACACTGGCATTCGTATTACTTATATAGATAACAGCAATTGGAACTATTACTAATGTCAAACTCATTTTTCGTGGTAATATAAAGATCATATTTATGGATGCATAAGCTTGAAATGAAAATGGCGGAAGCCATTTTGCTCCGGAATAAATATCAAAATTCATCCCATTATAATAGAGTCTATTTTATGAATATTTTTCTTTATATCATCAAAGACACTGATTATAAATGAGATTCTTGTTATTTGGATTCTTATCACTTGTAATGAATAAAATCACACAAATCCATTTGCATAAAAATGAATATTGATCTCCATCACGTCAATTAGTCTGAAAATTATAAAAACGAAATGCAAAAATATATGGGATCTTTTGTGTTAATTCACCTCAAAATAAAAAGAATTTATATTTATTAAATTCACACCAAAATTTAGAAATGTCCTTTAAATTTTGTTAAAAAATGCATTTATTGTTATTTTTTGCCTTACGTCTCCAAAGGAGCTCACACAAATAAAAAGAATCTATTATGGTGCGAAGAATCCCGAACATTCCCTCAAGTACTTTCGATTGTTTGCGTGTGAACTGAATTTTATACTGTGATTTATAGTCAGATGATTATAATTGGGATAATCCTTCAAAGATGTATATCCTTTCCAACAATCCGACATAATCGTAGTCCCAGCTGCGTATTGTGTCCAGTAATGTGGAGGCTGTTAACTTCATGGCAAGCTAAACAAATTTTGATTTAAAATTTATAATTGCAAAAGTGTGCCAAAGATTTAATAAAAAACAAAAAAAAAAAACTTTGATTTAAAATTTATAATTTCTTGGGGTAAATTAATATTTGTGATAAGTAATTACATTATTTGGGGTAAATTAACCGAAAATATCCAAAATATGTTAAGAGAAGCAACAATAAAATTAGATTCCACTAAAACTCAGATACAGATTTTATTTTTGCTTCTGCTTAATAAAGAATAAGAAATTATTGAAATATTTTCTGGAAATTTTAAATGTTGACTCAGGAGGGGGAAGCTGGGAATATATTAAAGTAATAAAGTATTGACTGCAATTTTTTTCTGAATCGAGTGAATGAAATCATTAAGTTAGAAACTTTGTTTTTTCATTTTTGATTGATAAAAGATAAAAATCGAAGAATACAAATAATTACCCAGATGCAAGATTAAGACAAACCGACCCACCCTGCCGTATCTCTTGCTTATATTTTCTATTTTGAGGTTCAAGATTTAATCTTCATATAAATAAACCTATCAGATACTGGATCAGTAATAGTATGCTTTAAGAAAAACATTACTATTTTTCTATGGTAAGAAGTTTTGACTTTTCTGACTCATATAAAAAAATATGTCATTTGAAGAACGCTTTATGACTTAAAATTCACGCCCAAATCTTAAGACAACCTATAAGATTACCGGGCGGGGGTGGACTAAATATATTTTCCAGAATGTTCGACCTCTGCTGAGGTCATATATTTGGTTGATGTTTCCAACCTGTCAATGTTTACCTCTCAAATAAGAAACCACGCCTTGGAGTTCTGAAATTAGCTTCATTTACTCACTCATATGGCCAGTTTTTCTTCATTTGTTTTTTTTTTCTATCATTAAATATTGGATTGGAAATTATAATAAAAATTTAACGACCACATCTGATATTGTATTCCGATGAGTATTTATATTAGATAAGGACTAACTTTCTCTTATATACACAGATATTAACAAGGAATAATTATCAATCATTCCCAGAGTCTTACTACATAAAACTGACCAGATTACTATGGTTAACAAGCTTCATTTTTCATTCATTACGTTGACAGAGTAAAGTGAACGTAATAAATGGAAAATGAAAATTCGCGAGAAGCGAAAATGAAGGCTTCATACATACTTTTTTTTCATATATCGTATATTTCCGCGTATAAGGCAACCTTTAGATAAGAGGAAGTAAAATAAAATATAGCAAATTTTCATCTATTTATTCTATACCTGTTGTATAAGATGACTGTTTATTGATTATATAAAGATGATCTTATTGGAAAAGTCGTTACTTACTTTATCCTTAGAAATTCAAAATAAGCGAAATAACAAAACCGATTCTTTTTTTTCTACACATGTCTCCTAAAAGGGAAACCATTGTTTTGTTTACGTTTCATCTTGCGATATCTTGAGAATACTTATTATTATTATTCTCCTCTTCCTCCTCCTCCTATAGCTAGACAGTTACAAACAGCCTAGTGTACTAATGGCCATTTACTTGTACTTTATTGACAATCTCAAGATGCCGCTAATAACAATACGATAATGTAGATAAGTAAGATAATAGTACATTCCACTTTCAACATTTTTTTTATTCGCAATCATAACTTAATGTTAATAACTTACATTTTTTCAGCTGATCTTGCATGGATACATTGAGTTGATTTCATTGACATGGAATTATTTTTCGAATAGGCAATTTATTATGAATTTATGCCAGTAATATATAAGGTAGAAATTGTTTTATTACTTTTATTATCAGTTTATTTGATAATGTGAATCTTTTTATATACGTTATTAACCTCACTGGGTCGAGGTTAGCCTACTGACAAACATCATTCAGAATTTAAGGTTTCTATTTTAGAATTATAGGATAAGACGAACCCAATTTTGAAGGGTGATTTTTGAGATTTAAAAGTTGTCTTATACGCGGAAATATATGGTATATTATTAAAACTAAGAAAGGCCAGAAACTTGAAATGCACTTGGAATGATTCATTTAATATTTAGTAAAACAATCGATGTTGTTCTGAATCATAAAATGACCAAATTCATGACATTGCATTGATTTTCTTTCACAGATTTTGGGCACAACTTTTGATCTTACATTAGCACTAATTCTAATACCTGACTTCTAGGGCGATCAAAAGTCTTTCTCCCTACCCACATATTTGGTTCTTTTAGATTATCATTTAAGACATTTAGACATTTTTATTTGTTCATTTCCGAGTTGCCAAGTGTTTTTGAAAATCAAACCCCCGATTAGGTCTGTTCTTCTAGTAATAAGCGCAGTATCAAGGATGAATACGAATTTCAAACTTAAATCAAACATTATAATAAAACAGTCATTGATATCAAATATCTTTTGATTCATCCAATCCGATTTCAGAAAGATAAAACAAAAATTCCAAGAAGGAGAAGCCAAATCATTTGAACAATTTAAGATGTGAAATGAAAAAAAGCGATTCATTTGTATACAAGAAATACAAGAAACAAACCGCCTGTTGAAATACTTGACAACGTTTATGCAAATGATTTCAGCTTTCATTCAGAATAATTGTTAATACAATGAAAAATGTCATGAAGTATGAAGATTCTATTATCTACTTTTAATGGTATAACCCAGTTTTCGCGCCAAATCTCATTTAACGCGTAATTACGAACGCTGTTCAGTGCAACCTAAAAAATCGAGGAAGACAGTCGTCTTTAGCTGCAGTCCGAGGAACGGCGCCCAAATGAGTTACTAACGAGAAGGGAAGCCGCTAAAGAGAAGATATGTGTTCGAACTTTCCAGATAGTCCCCGAGACAAACAACCTTTGGATGACAAATAAGTGTAACAAACTGTTTCTAATTGGAATTTATTGGAATTGACCCAATTGTTTGACTATGCCCGTTAAAAGTACGTTTTTAGCAACTCTTTCAATTCATGTTTTGATACATATGTTATTGTTGTATATAAAATATCTTAAAACTATTCAATTGTCTCTTTTTCATCTGCCCGACTTGATGTGGCAGTCGTTAAAAAGCTCATACCGTGTTTATAATTTCTTTTCATGCATTCAATGGAGTTAGAGAAAAATAAAGGAACAAATGTATAACCCGTTTAAATAATCCCGATTAAGTGTCTTCAAAAAGATCCGAAGAGAATATGAAAAGAATTAGTTTCGGTTAGTTAGCATCAACGCAAGTTGCTCTTAATTCAACGAAGCCCAAATAGGAGTTAAAAAAAAATAAAACAAACGGAAAAAAAAAACAAGAAAGAAAATATGAAGAAGTCTTAATCAATCCACGAGAATCGTTGTTCCCCATTTTTTTCTTTTTACCTTTATTCTGAAGTAAGTAGTGTTCAGTGACTGATTCATCTCTCCTTTTTCTGCGTTTGTAGAGACAATGGCCAATCTAAAGAAAAATTAGAAAATATGTAAAACCATTTATATCAGATTTGTTTGACGACTGCATCTCCGAAGGGAGAAAAAGTACTTACTTGTTCGTTGGTTATTTACCCTTACAAATCGTTCATCTCTCTTGATTTCGATGCATATCTACGCGTAGTAATGCTTATCCGATTTACGACTTTGTAGGAAGTTAACAATTGATAAATTTAATTGAATTAATATTTGGAACAATCCTATGAGTTCTTTCAGTCTGTGAAATATTTGGAAAGTTTGATCTGTCAGAAAACTTTATTCTAATAATAATAATAATAATAATAATAATAAAGCAGCAATGTGTTAATTATAACATAAACACATCGAACGTTTTTATATGTCATCAGTTAATATATGATTGGTATTATGCATTTATGAAACGCTTATAAAGATTTCTAAATAGAAGGATAAATTGAAAAAGTGATGAATCATTTTTTTAAACGTCTGCATATCTGTACAGTTTGAATCTTTTAACATGGTTGCATTATATAGAGATAGTCGGGTATTAGTTGGGTAATGTAGAAATTAAATGTTTTCATTTCTATATTTATAAGAATTTTATAAATCTTCATGCTGACATGTTCGTTTTCTCAGCACTGTTTATAAAACGCTTTAATCGTGCCATGCACTTGTAAAGAACAAGAAGACAATATAGCAGTGATTTACATTATCAATAGACATACGTATAGACAAACACATACAAAAACATAAAACATGCAGGAAAGCAACGAATGGCCGGTATTGAAAAGGAAGCGCGTGCAAAACGAAATAATTACATTACATTATTTTCATCACTATTAATAATGTCTTTCCATATGAATATGTTGTGGCGAGCGAATGTTTTTCTTCCTCCGTATGAGTACGAATTCCTCGTCGCCAAATATTGTTGTGGAGTTATTTCGCAGTGGAGGATTGTATTGTACTAAATCGGTCCTGAAATAGCTTCGACGTACAAAACGTTAGGAACTTGATATAATAGGTATAACGCAGAGTAATCTAGTTGTGGTCGCTGATACTTCGTATTCGACTAACTGTCGTCCGACATCGACTTACTGACTGACTCACAGACTGACCCCCGTTTCTATTAATACTCCTACTTATATTAAGTGGGAGAGTCTATTAACTATAGAATAGGTGTGTTTCACCATAACAGAATATGACTTAAATTCAATCAAAGATTTCTCTTGAAAATCGATTCCGGTTAGTACACCAATTAACTGCTTCTTAGCAGGGGCCTTATGCTCATTTCACAAATATAATCTGGAATCTATACAAGAAGATCATGATTCATTAACATTTATATACACAAAATAGTACACACGCGCACGCACACGCATATGTAATATATATATATATATATATATATATATATATATATATATATATATATATCACATTATATATATATATATATATATGTAGTGTTACATTAGAACATGTACATTATTACAAAAACTGTACATCTTGTTTCAACGTTACAAATTTTCTTAACATTTCATCATTTGAAACAAGATGTACAGTTTTGTAGTGGGTATATATATGTTCTAATGTAACACTGCATAATAAATAAATATTTATTGCTCTACTTTTGTATTGATCCCTGTTTTAAATTAATGTTTTGAACAGTGAAACCTTACTCTTCCTTTTTTTTACATTTGTGTGTGTATATATATATATATATATATATATATATATATATATATATATATATATATATATGTATATATAGGGTGTCCCAAAATAATGTATACACACTTTAAATACTAATAGTTAATAATACATTGCCGTGATGTGAGAACTTATATGGATGAAAATATGCAAAACATATGGATTGGAAGAAAAGAGACAGTTGAATACCCACCTAGATCACCAGATTTGACATCCTTGGATTTCTTTGTGTGGGGGTTTCTAAAAGACAAAGTTTACAGCAGGAAACCTAAAACAATTGAAGATATGAAAAGTGTATCGAACAGAACGGCAACCACTTGAGTACTTGATGTGAACGCATCATTATATGAACCTTATGCCATTCCCCCAAGTAGCTTTTATCTTATTAAAGTTAATTTTCTATGCTTTTTGTATATCTTACTCTCAAATTCTTTAATGTGTATTCTTTCTCTTGTATTAATCTTATTTACAAGTCAATATACATAAATTAAATAAGTTACAACGATTCAAAGAGTGTATACATTATTTTGGGACACCCTGTATATTTACTTTATCAATTAATGCCGAAGTTGATATTTTCTTCTCTTGAAATGGTTATATTTTCACATCTGTTCTCTCATAGGGGAAAAGGTATGGAAATATTACCAAGAAGAATCCAGTACGAGGATCATTGGAAAGAAGTGAAAAACTCTTGGCAAAACAGAAATGACAATCGTGCCTCCCTTTAATGAAACTCACCTTTTTCCAAATGTTTGAAAACTTAGCAGACACACACTCACACATTATAACTTGCACTTTCCTATAAAAACGTATTTTATTTTAAAAGAAACATTTTAATCAAAATCAAGTCACTTTATTCCTTTGCGCCCAATTTATTACATAAGTTATATTTCTAACGCAGAAAAAGAAAGCTTATTTTTATTCATAAAAATATCGTATTTCTAGTGTTATTTCTATGGATGTATTCACTTTAAGCATTAAAACAACGTCATCTATCAATATATACAATATAAAACGTACTTAAAGCTGAATAAATCTTGTAAATATCATTATAACAATTTACGCATGATGATCTTGTTATATTCTTTGAGCAGAATCACTTGTTTAAAATTCGGGTGAACGGACATGATAAGTACAAAGTTCTTTGTGGTTTTATATGATATTTCGAATGAACGAGCGCGCATGCGTGCACACACACACACACACACGTACTGATGTCACGGATTGACATTGGAGGTAAAAGTGAATTCATAAATATCATAGATGACTTGATACAAACTGATTTTTAGTTACTGATGCGTCATTACCGATGCGAAATACAACGCAAATATTATCAAATATTTCACAACACAGCCGTTCTCAGTTACATATATATATATATATATATATATATATATATATATATATATATATATATATATATATGCAGCAACCTTTCTTTTAAACACCTTTCATTAAATACAGCAGACAAGGAAGATTCGATTAATTTTATTTAGTTTTTCCAGCATTCTTACGTTCTTCCGTTTTGTCGGAAAAAAGGAATAGACAAATTTTCTATAATTTTCATTGTCCCAAGCGCTTTCGGACACTTCCTTAGACATTTTAAATGGGGTTTTTATTTTGGTGTTGTTTGTTTTTCCTTGACTCTTTAAGCTGTATTTTATTTTTGTGCTGATTTGAATATGAGCGTTTATTCTGAGTTTTCGCATATTTAGTAAATGCGTCACGTGTCATTTATCAGGTAAAAATGCTATAAAAAACATTCCTCAACATTTCTAGCAAGTATGATCTTAATTGGAGGATGAGCCATTATAAATACAAAACGTATTGGTTGTTCGCCGTCACGAAACTGGCCACAATTTTGACATAAAAAAATGCTACTCTAATTAAAAGAGAAAATAATTCACTATAACGAAAATATCTAGAAAGTGTTTTAATCGCTAGTTTCTCCACAGTAAATTTACGTCTATATTCTTACAACGATTCACCATTCTTGGCAGATTTTCTGTTATCACAATCGAAGATATTTAATAACAAAGATGATAAAAATAAAAAAGAATATATATGAATTTGGTTAGATTGCAAAAAATTTGTTCCTGTTTAGAATTGGGTTTCCAGTTCCTTCTAAAGTATTCTCGTTCTCTTTCACTCCCAGTAGTCCATTGCGTTTTAGTGGCATTATCACCTTGCTAGGGATGAAATGATTTAAAAACAACAACAAATGCCGCTTGAGTAAGCACAGAATCAGCCAAGTGGAAAAACTATAGAGGCTACATGAATTTATAAGGAAGAACAAATTTACCCGACACTTTCTGTAAATACATTCTTTTAAATGTGACTTACAAGATAATATTATTAATGTAAACAATGCTACATAGATTCCTTTTCGTTTACTGAAAATCCGTTTAATCTTACTCATATGTTTTGTCATTTTTCTTTTGTTTTCCTGGGCATGATCTTAAAATTGACATTTTGCTTCCTAGCATTTAATTTTTATAGCATTGGTCTTTTTTTTTTCATTGGCGAGGGTTATTCTACGATTCTTTTGCATTGTTCAGTTGTTGGCCAATTCTGTGTTTGCCAAGTAAAGGCAGATCATGATCTTGTTAGCCAATTCTGTGTTTGCCAAGTAAAAGCAGATCTTCTCCTGGATATGCCGCTTCAAAGTTTGTTTGACTTTCAAACTAAACATAAAAGCACAAGATGAGTAAAATATGGCTAGATATTGTAATCTTCGACTTTTTGGTAAATACACAAATTCTCTTGTGGCATGTAAGCAAACCTGCTTATCTCATATGATACGGCGATGTTGTAAACAATGTTTCGTTCGGTAAAAACCTAACAGCACTACTGTTAGGGAAATCTGAGAAGTGTCTTTGAATCTTCTTATTGTTGTGTCACCCATACACTTTAATTGTTTGCGTATCTGTGACGATTTCTTATTATTTGGATGAAATTAGGTCTGAGTATAAAATAACATTTTCTATTTGACACTGTTTTTATTTAATGTTTAATCCGGTGAAAAAGTGAAGTCGAAGATTGGAATACAGAAGCTTACTGTGGTGATGCAGTATGTGCAATCATGTATCAGAATGAAATTTTGATTGCAGGACTTGATGATTGACTTCGAAAAGAAGCACCACATAAAACACGTGGCCTTGCCAAAAATTCAGAGGTGAATCAGTCAATTCATTGGAATGAAAATTGGAATGGAAACCCCTTTTTATGAACAAAGGAGTCTCTTGATGTTATTGCTGCGGAATTATGCTGGGCTTCATGTTGCAAATGCGACGCATAGAGCTG